TGTGCTGAACAGCGTAGCAACGCTGCAATACGGAGGGCATTTTTTCTGCATGCTACTTGATTCAACAGACAAATCATCGCGTTATTTTGTAGAAACTAGAAGCCCACCTAAACTTTGTTTGAATAAAGTAAAAGCTTTGCTAGATTTGTTTCCAGCTGTTTCACGCATATTGCTTCACATAAATGTAAATATATGAAAAAGCACCAAGGATTAATGGTATAATGATTTTTTTAACAAGAAAGCTGCATAGGTAGGTTCTTGTTACCTTCCATAATTGTATTTATTGAAGTACCTGACATTTACGGAATGTAACTATTCCAAATTCAACAAATGCTAATTTAGGGATTCAGAAAATAAGAGAGATGAGCACTAGAATGAATAGTTCAGATGAATAAACACATGATAAAGCACTTATGAAACAAGATAAAAGATGAAAAGAAGAAGGAAGACGATGATCGATATCCGTCAATGATTTTCATCAGATTCGATCAACTTGTGAGTCTCTGTGTACTATGCAGAAGATCAGAGAGGATATTGTGGATCAATGAAGAGAAGAAGCAAGTTTTTCATGGAAAAGAGGCGTGGGTGTGGGTGGATCTGGTTGTGAGGAAAGAAAGAATTATACACAGCTCACACCCACACTCTCGGTCCACCTTTATAGAAGAAATCCAAATGAAAATTTTCAAAACTGATTACAATTTCAATTTTTCGATCCGAGTCACCTTTGGTCAACTTGAACGAAAAATCTTTACAGTGGTGTAAAACCGTACTCGTTGCTTTTCTAGCGCATGTAAGATAACAAAACTTCAATCGTTTTATTTCATATGACTCTCTCTCTTCAGTTGAGGAGACACTTGGAACTTTTACGTTGACTTTAACGACTTCATCATTGAAAATCTAAAGTCATAGGACCACTGTTAGAAAAGGGTTACTCTATGTCGATGCATTGAGTACTCTCCATGTCTTTACACATACATTTTCTAATGAGTATTATGTTTCATCATAGAAGTGCTCTAGAATGAATAGAGTTCTTACCTGATGCATTTATTGGAGAAAATGTGATTGATGCTAAACCAATTACGTTTATTGAAAATGGTCCTATTACATTTGGATTAAATGTCGTTACAACCAAAAAGTATGTTGTCGAAGTATCAAGCCAAATAAATAAACGGAATTGATGATTGCTAGCACCGTCATTATTACTTGCTATTGCATTTTGATACGGAGCAGGAGGAAAGAAAATGTTGTTGTACAAATAACCAAAGGTATCCATGTTACTGATTGATTTAAAAGAATAGTATCCAGCAATAGAGATGTTCAAACGAAATGCTTGATAAAAGTAGGCAGAATCTGAACAGTCACCCACACGACAAAACTGTTCACTAGCGTCAGTCAGCATTGATGAGTATTGTGAAGTGATCAGCCTTGTAGTGCCTAACCAAAGAATAATGAGAAAACTGCACTTTTAACCAAATCTAGTACTATCATTTTATGATAATCTATAGAAAATGGCAGGGACCATTTATTTAGAATTATCTAAACTTAACGAGGGAAAATTCCGACTGATACGCATTGTTCGAGCTTACAATTTCTTGGTGGATAAAGTTTATTATATGTACTTATAAAATAACTGAAACGATTCTTGCCAATGATGCTCGGTTTGCAAGTTATGAGCAAAACCAATCCTTGATAAATAGTGCCACTATTTATGCGTTGATCTGTGTTGTCTCTATATCCTATGTAGGACACATTGTTTGTGGTTAAAGAATTCATTACAGAATATATCTTATGTGATTTAAATACTAAAACAACTTCTCAGTCGACACATTAAACGAAGAATAAAATAGCGAACAGATAGAGGCACAGTTAAGCAGAAATATGTTTTCCTCATAAGATGGAAATCAATTCAACGATGGTACGAATTCTTTCAGTTCTTTTAAAGACATGACAAAGCTTATTCACTAACGAAGTATGAGCTCGAACGATGCGTATCAGACGGGAATTTTTCCTTGCGAATGGAGAAGAAGTACATTGATGACGTTGAGAACACACTTTCGCAGATTTGATAAATATCATATTAAAACTACAAGTCGTAGAGAGCGTTTTCATGCATCACAGTTGATCCAAAAAAAAGGGTTTTCGATCATTGTTCTGAAATGAACGGC